GTTCTTAGTGCTAATCAGTGTGGCTATATTTTTAAATTCAGATCATAATATTATGTGGAATACACTGGACTTGGAAATATATGATACTGTCCTGAGCATGTTTTATTTTGTGCACGGTAGCAAGATGGATGGATTACACTGCACTAAAGATAGTTAAGGTGTGTGAAATGTTGTTTGATTGTTGTCAGGATAACCCAGAAAAAACTGCCTCCACAGAGCATGGGAATTTTTATATCACTGGGGACAGAGGGATTATGGATGAAGAAGGATACTTTTGGTTTGTTGGAAGGTCTGACGATATCATTAATTCTTCAGGGTAGGTCCATTACTATTGGGTTTGCAGGTTTCTCTTACAATGTTGCTCTGTAGTATCACAAAATACAATTAAAAAAAACTTTTTCATGAAAAGATCAATAGTTTCACGCCAATGCTCTCTCTTAGGTATCGTATCGGACCATTTGAAGTAGAAAGTGCCTTGATACAGCACCCAGCAGTCGCAGAATCAGCTGTTGCCAGCAGCCCAGATCCTATCAGAGGAGAGGTAAAAGGGCTGATATAGAAAGACGTACTCTTTCAGTGAAATGTAGAGTTCCTGCTGTACACTGTATACTTGCTTGGAATGAGTTGCAGATGCTGGAAAAAAACCCTTGGAATATAGTTTTAGGTGTCATTATTAGAAAAGATCAAACAATTTTATGAAGAAATTTGGAATTTCAACTTTGTTTCCATATTGCAGAATTTGACATGGAACAATATTTTGTTTAGTCAAAAAAATTGTGAAATATTTTTTTCAACAAAATTGATTTTTTAAATTGTCTGTTTATCCTTTTCTCCCTTTTTTGTCACAGAGAGCAGTAAAATTAATTAAATCCAATGGCTTTCTTTTTTTTCTTTTTCCTGCTCTGTAACTTTTCAAAATGTTCCCATCTTTAGGAAAGTGTCAGAGTTACAGTTTCTTTTTGCAACTGTCACTTTTCAAAACTTCCTCCACTTTGGAAAAGTTAGTGGGGAAAAAAAAGAAAGAAAAAGTAAAATAAAGAACCATCCTGGACATGATTAATTCTGTTGCATTCAGTGGCAAACAGGAAAAGCGAGGGAGAAAAAGGAAAAATAAAATTCTAAATTTTGAAATTCTCCATTTTGATGAAACATTGGATTTAAAAAAAAACTGAAAATTTTCAGTTTAAAAATATATCACTTTTCATTTTAAAGTTTCAGATGAAAATTTTTGACTGGCTCTAGACGTTATCTAGTTTTCTTTTTTTAAGTGAATAAGCATGTGAAAAAGTATTGTAGAAATAGTGCCTCTCACAATGTAGTACATAGAGAGACAAGGTGGGTGAGGTAATATCTTTAATTGGACGAGCTTCTGTTGATGAAAGAGACAAGCTTTCGAGCTACATAGAGCTCTTCTTCAGGTCTGTGTAGCTTGAAAGCATGTCTTTTTCACCAACAGAAATTGGTCCAATAAAAGGTATTATCTCCCCCACCTTCTCTTTCTAATATCCTGGGACCAACATGGCTACAACAACGTTGTAAACAAAATATAACATATAGACTAATAAAGAGATACTATAGGTAAGGATCAGAGCCTTCGCTGTTGCAAAGTGGCATGGCACTCCTGAAGTCATAATCTATTGATTTCAATGTAGCTATACTACTTTATCTCAAATCAAGTTCTGGCCCAGGGATTTTAGCATCTCAGTATGATTGCTAAATTGCACCAGGCTTTTTTAGTCTTATGGAACTAGATTATCTGACATTTGAAAGGCCCCAAAAGGCCTCAAAGGAAGTGAAATGTGGTTGTATTGGTATTGTACAAGATGGTTGTATTGTCCAGTAGAGATTCTGGCAGGCCATGGAGAGCTGCACTGCACTCTCTGCAGCATTAGAAGGAGCAGCGTGGGTGCAGGATGGGAGCTAGGCAGGCCATTCATCCAGTTTTAACCAGACAGGCAGGCTTTTCTGAGGTTCGTCCCCCATCCAGTACTGAGAGAAAACTGGACATGGTTTTGTCCAGTATCGGATGGGGGACACCATTTTGAAGTGTGTGCCGCTCCACCCCTGCTGCTGTGACCTCGCACGCACAGTGCATATAAGGTCCCACTAGCAGGGACAGGGTCGTGCTGTGTGGGGGTGGATCCACACCGTTCTCAGAAGTACCGGAAGATCCAGTGTTCCGAGAATGCATGAGTGGCCACTCTAGGGGAAACATGGCCAGTACGTCCATTCCTATGTGGATCATAGGCCCAACCACGCAAAGCAGGTGCACAGTGGGCTATAATCACTGCTGCAGCCCAGAAGCTGCCATTGTAGCTATGCAGGCGATCCACACTTTGCCCTTTGGCTGAGAACGGGGAGGATTTTATCCCTGCACCTCTCTGCCACATAGATCTGCTTAAATCATGCTTATTTTTATGATGCTCCAGTCAGCTACATAGCTGTCATCCTCCACCCCAGAAGTGGCTGCACGTCACGCTGGGGTGCTGTTTGTAAAGCGTTTTTGGATACTTTGGAATGAAAAACACTATGTAAAAGTAAGATTATTATTCCACCAACTGATATTCAAACTCACACCTTAGGCAAAGAGTTTCAAAATTGGGTACTCAAAATTTGAATTAATCGAAACCCCTGGGAACACTGACCCTTAGAAAATCAGGGCACTTATTTAAGTGCTATAGTGTGGAATAAGGTGTCTAATTTCATACCCAAATTACAGTCTTTTGGATTTGGGCTTTTTCATGCTCGCATTTTTCAGCCTTGGTTGTTTGTTGAAGACTAAACACACCCATTTACTTTCATTGTAACTGTTATTGCACAGGTGGTAAAAGCTTTTGTTGTCCTGGCTCCTGCTTTTCTATCACATGACCCAGAAAAATTAGCTCTGGAGCTGCAGGAGCATGTGAAAAAGGTGACTGCTCCCTACAAATATCCCAGAAAGGCAAGTACCCACCCCCTGCTAAATAACAGGGGCATACTCGAAGCACAGCTTTTCTAAGTGTTTCAGAAATCAAGCCATGTTTAAGACAAAGTACACCGATTCCTTTACAGTCTATTAAAAGCATTGTCTGTATCGTGCTGTGAACACAATTCATTATGATGGAGTCACTCCACAGAAGCGGTGTGCACACACACACACGCTCACTCACACCCTGAATAAAACTCAAGTAAACTGGGCAATGCTGCAAGGATTGAGAAGAAATGGAACCCATCCCTCACTACAAAAACATGATCTCGTAACTCCCTCCCCTAGCCTGCTCCCTACCCACAGCATTAGCCCACTAAACACCAACCTGTTCAGGATCGTAGTAAAAACCCCTTCTGCACTGCCCTGTGCACACGTGTGAGTAAGGGGTTCACAGTCAAGCTCAAAGCTGTACCAACAGTACTGACTCCAGTCTCCTGTCCTAGCCACTGGGCAGCAGTTTATTTTGCACATTTATTTGGGGCGGGTTTGTTCTTCCCGAGGGCTCACAAGGAACTACGTCCCCAAATCAGAAAGGACCTGCCCTAAATGTGCTATTTTTTCCCCACACAGGTGGAGTTTGTTCAAGAGCTGCCAAAAACAGTTGCTGGGAAAATCCAAAGGAAGGTATTAAGGAACAAAGAGTGGGGAAGAGCATAGCATCGTGTGGACAGTCGAGAACAAAGCGTCTTTCACTTCCACAATCATATGTCTCATGTTTTCACTTTTCTCTATTGGTCCGGTGGTCTAATATTGTGAACAAAGAGCATTAGCAGTGTCTGTTACACCTGTCCCCCTGCTGCATTCCTTTTTTCCCCTGTCCTTTCTGTTTGTCCTGTGTGGCCGCCCCTCCCGGCCATTGTGCTAACTAAAGTCACAGCCCTATTCATAGGAATGGCTTGTACAGACTAACTGGAGCCATTGCTCTGCCTAGGGAGGGGGCTTCTTGCTTCTTTGTTTGGTTCCTTTGTTCAGACCCGGGCTCGGTGTGGGGGGTGCTGCCCAGAAATGCAAGACCTGAAGTGGCCAACTAATTAAACATATGAGTCATACCTGTGGCTCAGAACATGTCCAGGCATGCCTATGCTTACCTGAAGCCTTTCCCTGCCTTCTCTCCTCCCCTGTATCAAGAGGAGCCAATCAAAAGTACTGGTGGGAAACTGCCTGAGTTTGCCTTTAAAGCCGGACATTTTCTGATCAGACCTCGGAGAAGGTCTTTGCTTTGCCACCTGGTTTGAACGGCTGATGCTGTCTTTGGGGGGGGCCTTCTCCCTGCTCTCATTTGTTTTTGAGCATATCCCCATTTTTGAACTCCCCTCATACGAACAACAAAATTTGTGCCTGGA